CAGAGAGGGGCGGCGCCTGGGGGGGGGGGGGGATCTCCGAGAGGGTGAGGGGTGGGACCCAGGGCTGAAGTCACTGGGCAGGGAAGGGACTCAGGAAGGAGGCCCTGGGTTCTCTCCCTGACCTGCGTGTGGGCAGCTGTGGGCATCCCTGCCCCGTTGTGGGTTCAGGCCTGCAGTTGTCCAGTCTTGGCCTGGGGCCCAGACCCCCCAGGTCAGTGGGCAGGAGGAGAAAAAGGAGCTGAGCAGAAAGACCACCGGCGCCAGAAGCCAGGCTCCCGTCCCCAGAGCCTCCCCCTCAGCGCAGCATGCGTCCTTGGACAGGTCGGCCGCGCCTCTGAGCCTCCTCCCAGTCGGGGAGGTTCCTACAGGATGGTGCAGGTCAAGGTGCAGAGGAGTCTCCTTCCTCCAGGCCGGGGCAGGCAGTGCCCAGTGATCCCCGTCCCCGTGGGTCTCCAGCACCAGGGGCTTGACCGGGTCTGGCGAGGAAGGGGCAGCCGGAATCTCCATCGGGCTCCTCCTGGAGGCAGAGGAGCAGGGGCCACCTGGGACGGGAGGGGGAGCTGTGTGGGCACAGGTAACCCTGCCCCTCACACCCCTCCACTCCACTGGGCTGGCAGAGTTCTCGGCTTCATCCCGCTTCCCGGAATGTTCTGCGGACACTTCACGGGCCAGGGGCGGGGTGATCAGCAGGGCTTTGTCTCCTCCCAGGTGACAGGCGCTCCTCCACACTGAGCTCCAGGCGAGCCCCCCTCCCTTCCCCCACTTCTATTTCAAGTTCTTGGCTATTTATAGCTACATCGGCCAATGGCATCAGGCCCAGTCTGGCTTCTGCTGGCTCCCACACCAATGGTGCCACCTCCCCTTGGTCCCTGCATCACCTGCCCTGTCGAGTCCTTGGCACCGTGTGTGTGTGTGTGTGTGTGTGTGTGTGCAGCCCCGAAGCCCCAAAGCTGGGGCTGGGGTATCAGGGAGGAGACAAGGAACACAGGTGCTGGGGTGGCATGGGAGACCCAGCGCCCTGCCTAATTCATGGCCAGGAAGAGTAATGGCAACTTTTTCTTCTGTTCCCTGAAACCCCTGCTGGGCCACCCTGAGGAAAGGCCTCCCTGCTTTAGTCTCCAGTTTGGATCTGAGTTCCCCAGGAGAAGACCTTTGAAGCGAGCTCACCGGGCACCTGCCTGGTGTTGGCCAGGCCTGCGGGGTAGCAGCCGGGAGCACCCTGTTCTTCCCCCAGCCCCACCAGGACTCACTCAGGGCTCTGGGAACTGGCCCCATCTCTCAGCCTCATTTTCTCCTGCCTGCCCAGCCTAGCGATGGCCCCCTTCTCCCCGACCCGTTCTCCCTGCATAAAGCCACCACCATGTCCTCATGGCCATGCCTTCCTAAAGGACCCTTTGTCTGGGAGCAGGCCCAGGGACTGCCTACCAATCTAGACCTCCACCCCACCCCCTGCCAAAATGGGTGAGATTCTTCTGGGGGTGGACGCCGGAGCCTGGTCAGCTGGGAGGGAGACCTGCACTTCCCAGGTGCTCTGCCAGCTGCAGGAGGCCCCTGGAGTAGCCCTGCCAAGAATCAGCCCACTCATACGCCTGTCTGTCCAGCACCTGGCCCTCTGCGCCCCTTTTTGGGAGAAGGGGACACCAGCTGCCGGGTTCCGGCTCTGTTCTCCAACTCCTCAGAGGCCCCTGGCTCCTCCTGGATGGAGAGGCCTTGCCCTGCTCAGGACAGACCACATTTCTGCCCAACACATGCAACTCCCTACCCCCCTGCTGCTAAGAACCATGCAGAGCTGCCCCCATTTCCCATCTAACCTCACCTTGCGGTCCGCAGTGCCCCAGTCTCTCCAAACACAGCCTGGCCTTCCAGGCCTGGCCCCGCCTTTCTGCGGCCTGGCCCTCTTCTCTCTCCCCCACAGAGTCCCTCAGGCCAGAGCCTCAGAACCTTGACAAACCCATCCACAGGAGCACAGTCTGAGTGGGGAGGAGGCCGAGTGGCCGCTGAGGCTGGCGCCTTCCCGGGACTGTGCAGCCAGGCAGAGCAGAGCCTACGGACCAGGGAGTGGAGCGCCCCCGCCCCCCAGCCCAACTCTGAGAGATGTTGAAGTCAGGTCCCCTCCTTTGGGCCTCAGAAAGGGTTGACCTGGGTTTCTGGGGTGGTGTCCAACCCTGAGACCCATGGTTTTCAGTTTATTCATTAAGTGTTCACTGGGCGCCTCCGTCGGCAAGGACCAGTAGCTTTCTCTGGTCCATTGGGAGCGTGCAGGTCCGCACACAGCTTTGATATAAGGGGACTAGCAGAGTAATAAATGTTACTACTCATCCACCTTCTCTCCCTCCCTTCCCTCCTCCCGTTCACCCCCCATCATTTCCTACCCACCTTGCTCCCCACCCATCCACCCAGCAACCTACCTACCCTGCCACCCACCCACCCACCTACCCACCCAACTACCCACCCTATCACCCACCCACCCTACTAATCCACCCTACCACTCATCCATCCACCTACTCACCTTACCTCCTACCCATCAATCCACCTCCTATCCATGAACTCACCCATTTCCTATCTGCCCATCCACCTACTCACCCATCATCCATCCATCCATCCATCCATCCATCATCTATCCACCTAACCACCCATCTATACATTCAACTACCTACCCACCCCATCCATTCATCTGCTCACCCACTCATTTATATGCCCCCATTCACCCATCCACTCCTTAATCAGCCATCTACCCAACCACTTACTCACCCGCCCACCCATCCACCCACTCTCCTTCACATCCACTCACTCACCCACCCACCCTTACACCCACCCATTTACCCATCCGTTAGTTGTAAGTGTCTGACACTGGCTTTGTTGATTGTAAGGTAAACACCTGAGCTGCAGCTTTTGGTGGCTGAGGCATCTTTCTCAAAGGCATGGATCACCCATAAACACATTGTCCGCTGCATCAGCCACCCCATCCATGAACTTCCACAAAACCCTAGGCCAGTGATGGCGAACCTTTGGAGCTCGGCGTGTCAGCATTTTGAAAAACCCCAACTTAACTCTGGTGCCGTCTGAGACCCACAGGGGCCTGAATATCACATATAGAAATTTTTTGATATTTGCAACCATAGTAAAACAAAGATTTATATTTTTGATATTTATTTTATATATTTAAATGCCATTTAACAAAGAAAAATCAACCAAAAAAATGAGTTTGCGTGTCACCTCTGACACACGTGTCATAGGTTCGCCATCACTGCCCTAGGCACCCACCCCGGCCCCAACAAAGGCAGAGCCCCATCCATACTGCCCCCTACACCTCGCCGTGTGGCCTTGGGCAGGAGGTGGACCCTCTGGGACCTGACTAATATACCCTGTGTTTGCAAACCTCCCTGATGGTTGGTGCTGAGATGCGTCTTGCGATCAAAGTAAGAACCACAGAGCTGGGCCAAACACAGCCCTGGCTCTGGTCTGGGAAACATCTATGAGGGGAGCTCAAGAGAGTGACCCAGGCATCCTAACCAATAGAATAGCATCACCAGGGACAGGTCAAGACCCACACAACACCACCCCATACCCACCCTCTACCCACCACCCAGAACCCTCCAGTGCCTACAGTTCTTAGCCCAGAGCTGGGTAGACACAGAGACAGATACAGGGGTGTCCAGCATTTAGAAGACCTGCTGTCCCACTAGGACAGTGTGCGGGCTGGAGCGGGTGCAGGCCAGACCACAGGGTTCAAGTCTTGCCTCACTACCTGCTTGGTTCAGGCCTGGTCCACTTGCTCAGTGATTCTCATCCCCATTCAGTCTTTCACTACCTCAGGATTTGAGGCCTTCTGCACCCCAGGGGTCAATCCCCTCCCCCCGCCCCCCGTAGCTGCAGGGGCTCAGGAGCATGAGAGGTGGGGGAGCACCTCCACGCTGCTTGAAGCAACACCCGCTTTTTCCAGTCCTCCTTTTATTGACTCCAAGGGGCTGCCAGAGTTATAAATAGATGTTCTTTAGCTAAAAATAGCCTTGCTGGAGCGCCAGCGGTGATTCTAGCTTTCGGCCTCTTTCAGAACTCTCAAGAGTGCAGGATTCAAGGACCCCAGCTCCTCCCACAGCCCCCACCCATGTATGCGGACAGGCCCACCTGTGCGCACACATGCGCACACTGCCACCCAGGTCTGGCCGGGGTCACTGCTGTGGCTACCTCCCGGCTTGCCCAGCAGGAAGGGCATAGCAGAAGAGAAGCAGGCCGAACCTCCAAGGTCAGGCCCCTGTGGGTCTCAGACGGTATTTGCACAGGACTGAGGGGTCGAGGGCACAGGCCTGTTTGGAGCTGCCTAGGACATACCCAGTGAGGTGCCTGGCACACAGTGGGTGTCCAGTAGCAGGGCCGAGCTATACAACCGCCAAGCAAACTTGGGAGGGACCCAGGGCAGCCTGTCTAAAGCCTACTCTGTGAGTCCCATAGGATTGCACACACCATGCAGCCTGCAGCCTCTGCTTCCTGGCGACTGCGACGGGGGAGGGAGGTCCGAGGGAGGGCAGGGTGGCCTCCAGGGAATGGAATCTAGGGAGGCCCAAGGGTGGGAGTGACACCAGAGGCCCTTGCACCACGTGAACCTATGACTTCAACAAATCATTTACATGATATTTAAAAAGCAAAGATGGCTGCAGACACTCTACACAGCTGGACCCCATTTCTGATGAGCAGGAAGAGCCATCGTAGGTATGTGCACCCCTGGGCCCACACGGGACCCATGGAGGTCTGCAGCCAATCATTTCCAGGATTACTCCTGGGGAGAGGGAGAGGGGCAGTCGAAGGGCAGAGATGAGTTTTTATTTCACTTGGTTTTAAGTCCCCAAGTCCTCCCCCCAACCCCCACCTGCCCTGCCCTCTGCCCTCTGGGTTTGGGGCAGTCCAGCTTTCCAGGCCCAACACCCTGACCTCCTGGCCTCAGAGGGGCCTCCAGGACCCCTCCCCACCCTCCCACCCTGAAGAAAGAGGCACTAGACGTGTGGAGAAAACATCCATCTCAGGATTTATTACAACACAATTTTCCCAAATACAAAAGAAAGGGACAGGATGGGAGCAGAAAGTGTGGCCGCGCTGGGGGAGGGTTCCGGGCAGCCAGTCCAGAGAGACTGGAGCCGTGTAGTGGGGGAACCTGCCTCCTCTCCTCCGCTGGACTTTCCAGCAAATAATAGGAGGGGGCCGATCCATTCTGGGGCCACCCCAAGGCCAGGGCACGGGGGTGGGGGGCAGGCAGGGGAGTAGAGAGCTGAAGAGGACTTGGAGAGGACTGAGGCCCAGCCCTCCCTGCCTGGGACAGGGGGTGGAAATGACCAGGGAGGGGCCCCCAGCACACAAAGGGAACCTTCTCGTTGCAGCTGCTCCTTTTGGGGTGACCAGTGCCTCAAGAGCAAGAGCACCTCTGCCCACCCCCCGTGGGACCTGCATCCAGAGTGCTGGGCCACTAGTGGCCCGGACCACTGTCTCCGGGACAGCACTCCACCTAGTGTCACCTCAGAAACCCAACACAATAGACAAACAGGAGGCAATTTACATAATCAATAATAATAATAATAATTAACCAATATTAATAAATACTTAAACCTCTAATCCATAGATTGCAAATACAACAATGATAGCTTATTTCTTAGGGAACAGGGTGGGGACAGAGATCAGGAACAGGACTTCCGCTTAAAGGAGGCATGACAGGGACATGGGGCTGTGGGTCCAAAGAACAAATAGAAACAGCCAGAGGGGCAGCTGGGGGTGGGACTCAGTCCTGCCGGGGCCACCCCTCCTGCCAGCTTCCCTAGGGGCCAGCTCCACATCCTAGACCAGCCATGGGCAAACTACGGCCCGCGGGCCGGCCCCGGCCCGTTTGAAATGAATAAAACTAAAAAAAAAAAAAAGACCGTACCCTTTTATGTAATGATGTTTACTTTGAATTTATATTAGTTCACACAAACACTCCATCCATGCTTTTGTTCTGGCCCTCCGGTCCAGTTTAAGAACCCATTGTGGCCCTCGAGTCAAAAAGTTTGCCCACCCCTGTCCTAGACCCTAGGACTTCTGAGGTTGGGGACATCTATTCCAAAAACCTTGGGTCCCAAGAACCCCAGTGGGTGTGGGCCAGGGTGGCTGGGCCTTTTCTCCTGCCCTCACTCCCAGGCCGGCCCACCTGGGCCCAAAGCCACCTGGGGTGGGGACTGGCATACCACTTGAAGATACTGGGAGACTTCGGAGGGGAGAGCTCTCCGGGAAAGGGGTGTGCAGGGGGTTTCTCTCCTCTGAGGCCCCAGTGAGGGCAGGGTAGACCTGGGGGACACGTCCTGCATCACCTAAGGCCCCCCCACCTGTCCAAGCATGGGGTTGGACAGGTGCTCACGGCCACTCCTCGCAGCCCCTCACCTGCAGTGCACCTGACTTCCAAGTCTGGCCTGGTGAGGGCTGGTAGAGGGAGAGCTCAGAATAAGACCCTAAACTCATCTGCCCTCTGACCAGTGCAGCCAGCATGGCAGGCAGGCGAGCTCAGCTCCTCCTGCCAGACACCCCAGAGGGCGTTCGGGGACACTCTCAGAGCAGAGGGGAGGGAGGCAGCCTCTGAATAGCCTTGCTGAGCCCCTGAAAGTGGGCCTGGCTCAGGCGGGAGTGGGGGGCACTCCACCTCTATTCCTGCTCCGAGACCCCCTGCCTCTGACACTCAAGAGCCCCCTTCACCAATCCTCCCTGTTCTATACCCCAGCCCCTGGCACACCTGGCCTTGGCAGGCCCAGTGCTGGTCAGCACCTGCCAGGCACAGGCTGGGGAAACAGGTGGTGGAGGTGCCCTCCTTGGCACCAACACGCGGTGCCTGGAGCTGGCAGGGGTGGCAGGGACTCCTGGACCACAGCTCCTATGGCTTTGGTGCACAGCCCGAGAAAGGGGGGGAGGGGGCGGGTGCGGAGAGGAGTGGGCGGAAGGGCAGGCGGGAGTTTCTGCGGCTCAGTTTGTGGCAAGGTTTTTTTTTTTTTTTTCCCTTTCCCCCCCCTTTTTTCTTAAGTAAAAAGTGCACGAAAGCTCGGCAGCCTCTTTGCAATGATCAGCAGTGTTTCCTTAGAGTGGGGCTGGCGGGGAGGGGACCCCGGGCCTGGCAACCCAGCTTGAGACTGAAGGGTGGCCTCATATTGCTTAGAAACGTGTCTCAGTTTAAATACCAGACTAAAAATAGAGCTTGGAGGACCACCCTCACTGTTGCCAAGTCATTGCCAGAACGAACAGCTTCAATAAATAAAAAAATCGAAATATTTACTTCTCGATAAAAATCGCAGTAAAACCATTTACCTTTCTTTGAATTATATATAATATATATTTATAGTGGGCCCGGCTGCTGGCGGCCCAGCCGAGGGCAGCGCAGGGCTCAGGGGCACCGGGTCCCCATGGAGGGGCCGACGCTGGCCACCGTCAGGACACCTCGATGACCTCCACGCTGCCCGAGAAGCTGGCCTGCTTGCCCAGGGCGGCCAGCTCCTCGCTGCGGGCGCGCCCCTCCACCATGCCCTCCTCGAACTCCATCTGGCAGCTTCGACGCTTAAATTGCATCTCTGGGGCTGGCTCCTCCGGCCAGCTGGTCCGCGCGTCCTGGGACTGGGCCCTTGCCGCCTCCCGCCGGCGCAAATCACCACCGCCTGTGCCCTGGGGGCCAGCCAGGCTGAGGGGTGAAAGCTGCACCCCCTGTGCACCCTCAGGGCTGAAGCACCAGAGCCCGTCTGGCGATGGTGTGCCTGGCGAGTCCAGGGGCGGTGCCCAGCCCCCAGGGCTGGCCGGCTGGCCTGGGCCAGGCAGCCCGGGCACCGACAGGGCTGAGAGGCCATGCCGTGGAGTCTGCCGGGCAGTGTCCCCAAAATTCAGGCCGAGGCCATGTGCGGGAGAGCGTGCTGGGGAGCCCGCTGGAGGTCGGAGCCGCCGGCGGGGTCGTGGGCGAAACTCGGTTGCTGCATCTGGGCTGTCGGGGCTGGGCGAGGGCAGGCCTAGTACCCCGGATGGGCTGTCCAGCTTGCAGAGCTTGGAGGCCTCGCCAGGGTCAGGGGCCCCGGGGCCATCCGGTTGCTGGCTGGGGATGTAGGCCGACTTGATGTCTAGCGAGAAGGAGCGCTTGAGGCGGTTGGTGTCCTGGAGACGGTCGGAGGAGAGGTGCAGGCCGTGCAGGCCCTGTTGCAGCACGCTGGTAGCAGGGGCTGCAGCAGGCGAGGGGGGCTCCCTGCCTGTGCCCCGCTTGCCCTCCCTGGCTGAGCTGGCTGCTGCACTCCCCGTGGCAGCACTCTCTGAGGTAGGTGGTGGCAGTGGCGGCAGGGGGGCTGCAGGGCCTGGGGAGTGCTCGGGCATCCCCGGGAGGGGTGCCCCGTCGCCCTGCAGGGCGGCCAGCAGCTTCAGGCTCCGCTCGTACTCCAGCAGCTGGCCCAGGAAGTTGAAGTTGGGTGAAATGGATGGGCGCCGGTCCTTCACAAACCTGGGGCAAGAGGCAGCCAGATGGCCACGGGAAGGCTGGGCATCCACCTCTCCCCGGCCCCAGCAGCCCATTGCTGGGCCCACAGCCGCTGTCAGACCCACACATGCTGGGCTGATTCAGGCCTCCCTCCCCCCTTTCCCTCCCCAGCCAGCCGGCCCTGAGCCCTGGGCCCCTCTGATGCTAGTGGGTGGAGGGAGGAGAGGAGGGGCAGGCAGTTCCCAGTCACAGAAGGGAAGCCTGGCTACCTGTAGGCGTCGTCTGAGGACATGCCCATGGTCTTCATGATGTAAGCGATGGCGATGGTGGCAGAGCGGGAGATGCCAGCGAGACAGTGGACGATGACTTGGCAGCTGGACAGCTTGGCTTTATCTGGGGGGGCGGGGGGCGGGGGGGGAGACCAGATGAGTCCAGGAGTGGCCAGTCCTTCCCTCCCCCAGGTAAGGAAACTCACCCTCCCTGCCACTAATAACAGCAGCTACCTCTCAGGGAGCGGCACCTCCTCCCTCCCCCCTCCTCCTGCCCACCAGCCCCAGGAGTGGGCGCAGGCGCCTCCCTGACCGATGAACTCGATGGACTTGTCCAGCCAGGGCAGCAGCTTTTCACAGTAGTTGTCGTTGATGGGGATGCGCATGAAGCGGCTCTCGCAGATGAAGTCCGGCTTGGGGCAGGAGTTGCTGGCATTGAGGACATAGCTTATTCCGTTTTGGGTCATTAGATCCTGGAGGGATAGGGGGAAGGGGGGGCAGGTTGGAAGGGGGCGCAGCCGGCAGGACCTTGGACGCCCAGATCCCAGAGCCTCAGAAGTCGCCGGGGGGCTGGGCCCCGCAGCCCCGCCCACTTTCACCCGGGAGCCTGCAGGCCTCTGCCAGCCCCGCCCACAGCCTGCCTGGCTCCCAGGAACTTTAGGGCAGCCTGGGCGGTGGCTTTACCCTCTTCCCTCGTCACCATTTTAAAAACACGGGATTCTTTCAGCGCTGGCCAGGGGCCCAGTGACATCAGCGGTTCGGCATGTGGGCTCTGCCGCTGAGGGGGCAGGGCACTACTTCCTGGCCCGGCCCTGCAGGGCCCTTCCCCCAGCCTGGCTCTAGTCTTGCGGTTACCCCTTGGGTCCTCCAGTAACCCCAACCCGTGCTCATACATCCTCCCATCGGCCTTCAGCTCCCTCCTCCCCCTGCCGCCTTCCCCCTTGGCCCGTACACACACCTTGTTCAGGACGTCCTTCTGAGAGCCCAGGTAGAGGTGAGGCAGGATGCGGGTCAGGCCCACACTGGGCACGGGCAGGCAGGGCTGGGAGAGGCTCACAGGCAGCAGGGCAGCAGGCTTGCCCTCACAGAGGCCGGGGAAGCAGGAGGAGAAGGTGGCAAAGCCCCCTGCAGTAGGAGGAGCAAGGAGACGGTCAGGCAGGCTGCTGGCTGGGGCAGGAGAGAGCCCAGGGCACTGATGCCACAGTGTCCCGGCCACACCCAACCTGGCCCCACGGCCGACCCTCTGGCTTGAGCCCTGGTCTCAGCGCTGGGTGCTGGAGGCCATCTCCCCCCACGCTGCAGCTCGAGCTGGTGCCGTGCACCTACAGCCCCTGACTAGCAAGTCCACATTCCTCCAAGCACTAGTCAGGGGCTGGCCCCCCTGGAGACGCCACTGTGATGCTCGTAAAAGTGGGGTCGAGGTGGCGGTCAGCACAGCACGCTAGGGCCCAGGCAGGAGCAGGCTCCCAGGCCGTGGGTGTGGACCACACAGCTCCTCCATACCTGTGGCTGGGCCAGGCTGGGCCTCCACCTCTCCCCATGGGCTGATGCAATACCTCCCTGCCTCCATCTGGCTGGGAGCCCCAGGCCAGGCTTGGGTGCCAGGACCAGGAGGCAAGAGCTTCTGAGGGGCCTCCCCTCCTCCTGGGCATGACATCACCCACTGGAATGGGCACAGCCCGCAGGGGCATCTGCGCTCCAGTGGTGGCTTCATTCCACCAGCAAAGACCAAGGAGCTGGACACCCTGGGGACTGGGAGCACGCAGGGTAGGCAGCAGGCACACAGACTACATGTGGCTGGCACGTGCACTGCCACCGTCCTGCACAGCACATCTGAGCCCGGGGCCATCTGAGCCCACCCCTCACTGGCCGGAATGACCTGGTGGGGTTCTTCCCTGGGGTACCCCTGACCCAGTGTGCGATCTCGGCAGAGCTGTTCCTCATCCTACGCGCCACACAGCCAGGCAGGGAGGCTCACAGAGAATGACGGTGATGACACACTGAGAGTGGACGCGCTTGCACCAGCCTGGCTGGGTGCGCAGTGGCCACCAGCTCTTGGTAGAATGAGGAAGGCCTGCAGGTGGCACCCTGGGGCAGACTGCACTTCTGCGGACACAAGCCCCAGGGCACCTTCCCTGCTCCCAGCCCAGCAGGCTGTTTCTGGCCTCAGTGGACCAGTCCATCCAATGAGACAATGGGGCTGAGGCCTACCCTCTCCTGCTGGAGGAGGCAGCAGAGTGAGGTGTGGTCTCCTGCCCTGGTCTGCAGAAGATCTGGCTGATTCCCAAGGACAGACACCTGGGGGCCTCAGCCTTCACCCCGGCCCAGCTGCACAGAGTCCAGTCTGTGCAATCCCCAACCAGAGTGCCCCCGTGCCCCCCATGAAGGGGCATGACTTTGGGGGGCATGGGGATGGGGGCCTCCAGGCTAGGAAGTGGGAAGTGCTAGCCTTGGAGGTCCCTCCAGGAGAGGAGGCCAAGCTGGATCCTGGGGGTTGGCTCCTGCTCACCACCCAGAGCCAGGGACCCCTGGTCCAAGTGGGGGACACCAGGAGCATCATCCCCCAAGGAAAGTCTGCACGGCTCACAGCCTGCCAGTCTTTGCTGCAATTCCTCAGGTAAGGTCCCCACGACCCACCTGGCTAGAGCCAACTGGCTTAGGGAGTCCCCTCTGAACCCCCTAGATGCCAGGTCAGAGCCTTCCAGGCTCTGGGGAGGGAAGCAGTGGCAGCTGACTCAGATCTTCCGCAGGTCCCCGCACTCCCAGACTTGGGCAGGCGCCCCTACCTACCCCCTGGGCATCCCGAAGGGGCCTGAGGGGCTGCGGCTGGTCTGCCCTCACAATGCAATCCTGGACTCGCACAAACGCGCGCCTAGACGCCGCCCCACCCGCCGCCTCTGCCGCCCGCGCGCGCGCTCCAGCCCCAGGCCGCCCCCCCACTGCCCTGGGGGGGGGGAGGGAGGGGAGGGGGGCCACCCACCCTTCGCACCCGGGCTGCTCCACCTGGGTCTCCAGCCAGGGTCTGAGGGTGCCACGTGTGCGGCAGGGCGCGGGGGCGCACCCCTCGGGTGGTGGCATCCCCGCCCGCAGCGAAGCGCACGAGTGGCCACTGGTGCTGGGCCAGGGCCGCTGCCGCTTAAAGGGCCAGGCTCTGCCCTCCCTCCACCTCCCCGCTTATGTCACAGCCCAGCGGGGTGGGGGACGGGGAACTGGTGTCCCAGCAGCCGATTCTCGCACCCTAGTGCACCTCACCCCGCGACCCTCTCCGCTAACCTCCCTTTGGCGGTGGAGGTGGGGGCGGGGGGCAGGGGAGGAATGGGGGACGGAGGCTCCCTCCAGCAGTGCTGTCCTCCTGTCCCGGCGCTCCTCAGCGCCCTTCATCCTTGGCCCAGGGGTCAGTCTGCCAGTTCCAGCCTCTGCCAACCTACCCTGTGCTGGGTTCCCCTCTTCCCCCCTCAGCCTGTCCTTCCTATTCTCACTGCTCAAGGGACTGCTCGCTTCCGGGTGGGAGCTGTGGGCAAGGCCAGGAGGCTGTCCCCATGTCTGGGTCCTGATTTGGGGTCCCGATGAGCCTTCCTTCTACCACGAGGGTCATGATTTCTTGACCCTCAGAGAAATCATGGCTTGGCTCTCAGAGAAATGGGGCAAATACTCTAACCTTGCAGGGTGGGGCAGCGAGAGCAGGAGAGAGGGCCAGGGGGCACAGCCAGGTCCGGTGAGCCCTCCTGGTGCATTCTCGCTCAGGCCTGCCCTGCCAAGTGCGGGTGAGGGGCCCGGCCCCCTGGTGGGAGACAAACCACTAGAGCCCTGGCCACCTCCCCACGTCCCCAAAGCTGCTCTGGGACCCTCTTCCCACTCATGCTAGGGCGCGTGTGCACACACTGCCAGCTCCTGGCTGGGCCCTCGGAGAATTCCTGGCTGCCCAGGACACCTAAGCTCAGACATCTGACCTCTCCACACCTCCCATCCCACCTGCCTGCCAGAGCCCCTGGCACACACAGGGCAGGGGCAGGAGCACCTTCCTGGGACAGGACAGCCCCACCCGTCCAGGGTCCTGGGAGTGGATTCTACAGAGGTGCCTCCGGAGGAAGGAGCCAGCGGAACCCCTGTGGTGTGTGTGTGTGTGTGTGTGTGTGTGTGTAGGGGCTGCCCAGCCTCCAAACTGGCCTGGCTACTTTGGGAAACAGGAAACCATGGGGACCTCTGAGGACCACCAGGCAGAGGCCATGCTCCAGGGGCTGTTGCCAGGCATCCTGCTGGGCTGGAGCCTCAGGGGCCCTCTCGATGGGGGACCAGTTCTGCGCAGACGGGTTTCTAGAGGCTGAAGCCTGTGACCCCTCCTTGGGGCAGTTGCTGGGGAGCTGCCAGCCGAGCCACCCACATCTTTGCCTAGATTTCTCCCCACTCCCACCACAAAAGGTATTTGCAGGTTTCCTTCTGTTCACCTCTTCACCTGCTAGTGGAGGGGGGCCCAAAGTGTGGGGGCCCAGGCGAGGGGACGGTGGGGCCCCAGGAACTACAGAACCACTGCCCCAGCTGACGCTGATCTCTGGGCTTAGAGAGAAGAATAGGGGTGGATCCATCTGGAACCCTGACTCCTGGATGCCCCTGCCCCCCTCCCACCCCTCAGCCAAGCGGACAAGGGAGAGAGGCCGAGGGAGGGTGTCCTGCATCCCACCAGCCCTGGGCGCTCACCTGTGAGGATGGCAACGCTGTCGAAGCAGCCATCCAGCTTGCTGAGCAGGATGGAGAGGAAGCTGTCTGCAGCCAGCACGCTGGCATCCAGGGTGCTCTGGTCATAGACAACCACGTCCTGCGGCTCCTCAGCCTCTGCCTGGGGGCCATGAGCAGAGGGCAGAGGTCAAGGCACCAACAGGAAGGGGCTCAGGTGATAGGAGGGAGGGTCTGCTGCCACCTTGCTGCCTGAGGGGAGGGCAGGCACCCAACCACCCACCTTCTACCTGAACAGGTGTAAACACCCGTGGCTACACAGGTAGGCCCTCAGAGCAGGCAGAGAGGGACACCGATCCCCAGGCCACCACGTCCAAGAGTGAAGGGAACAAACACTATGGGTGTCCGCTGTGGGCCAGACCACGTGGAAGAGACAACGGGTGGCTGTGACAGGTCCCCAGCAGGCACACACATGCAGGGCTCACAGTTGCAGGATGGCACAGCCAGGGCCTGGGCTGGCTCTCGCATTGGCCAACATGAGGGAAACCATCCTCAGAGTCCCCGGGAGGCACCTTTTGGGGATCTGAAGGCAGGGCACCTTTGTGTCTGGCTCTCCTCTCCCTGCGCCCCCAGCCAGCTAAGGGGAGACAGGGCTGCAGCAAAAGCCCCCCAATTCCGGAGGCAGCAGCTGGAGGCTGGGCTCCACCTGCCCTTCTCCCCCTCCCAGTGCCCAGCCTGGGGGCCAGATGTTCAGCAGCTTTTGCTTAGAGCGAGGCTGATACCCCCACCAGCCAGCGCTCAGCCCTTAGGCCAGCAGAGCTGCCAGCCCAGCCCAATGATGTCACCGGCAGCCAACGGGATTGCACTCTGGCAGGGAGTCCTCGCTGGGGTGATTAATGGCCGGGTTCCCCTCAATGAGGCTGCAGGAGCCTGTCTGGGTCAGCCTGTGGGGTGGGGGCTCTTACTTGGGTCCTCTCACAACAGGCTCTGCAAGGGGCAGGGCCTGTGACCGAGAGCTCCCCACAGCTTCCAAGACCGCTGGGCATGTCACCCCCACCCCCATGATAAGTGCCACTGCTTTCCCAGGCCACTGGCCCAAGTTGTCTGTCCCTCCCCAGCTGGACGTGATGCTACTGGGAGCAGAGACAGGACTGTCCATTGCAGGTGACCCAACATTTTTGGGAGCCACAGAGAGAATTCTGGATCACTCAGGACTCGAGAGGGGAAAGAACGGGGGTGGGGGTGGGGAGGGCTGGAGACAAAGAATGCTCATTATAAGCCCCTTGGCCGTGCCCCATCCTCCTCTGAGTCCTCGAAGCCACCCGAGTATGGACCTGACCCAGCTGTCATCCTGGTCCACTGCCCCCTTCCGCCTGGGCCCCAGTGCACCCAGTGCCCGGTCACATCTCGCTCATCCACTCAGCACCCCTCTCTGGGCCCATGCTGGGCCCCTAGGACATGGCCTTGTCTGGTGTGTGTGAAAAGCTCCATGTGAGGCTCAGTGAGGATCCAGACAGGGGCAGGGGCGATGGGGTCAGTGAGAGCCGCCCTGGGGATGGAAGCTGCAGGAGGAGGGGAGCTGTCCACAACAGCCCGGGAGAGGGTGGCTCTGAGCATTTTGACCTTGAGGAGTCCGGTTTGTGTTCAAGGGCAGGGTGAGAGCGGCTGCCCCAGACATGGCCCTGCACACCTGGCTGAGGAGCCCAGCCTTGCACCCGGGTGTGACGGGAGCCGGGGGGGGGGGGGGGAGGCAGGTAGCGGGACTGGACGCGCTGGTACCTGGCTGCGCACGGCCGGCTGGATGAGCTCCGCGATGGTCACCTTGCCCTGCTGCAGCCGCCGCTTCACCAGCTTGGAGCAGCAGATGTTGACGGAGCTGAGCACGTGCCAGCGGTTGTACTCCACGAAGGAGCGGCTGTCGATGACCAGTGGCCCTCCAGGCCCGCCCCGCAGCAGGCTGGCCAGCTTCCTAGCATCCATCACCTTCCTGGGGAGCCGGTCCCCGGCCATGGTGGGCAGTGGGCAGTGGGGAGGGGGTGCCCCCTGAAGTGAGCAGGGGCTGCTCTGATGGCCCAGGTGTGGCCTAGGGTTCAGAGTGACTGGGCATGGTACCAGACCTGCAGGGAGAGGTGGCCAGTCAGCAGCAGCCTCGGAGGGGCCAGTGTGCGACCCCAGCACCCAGGACGCCGGAGCCTGCCATGCACCCACAGCCTTCCTCTGGGGAGGGGGGGAAGGGATTGGCATCCCTCTGCTAGCTCTGACAGTGCGTTGGACCCTGCCACACGGCTGGCACACCTCTGGGGTTTCTGTTACCTCCCCTCCCCTCTCTGGTCCCCACATCTTCCCAATCCCCAGGGCCCCTCTCTGCCAAGTCCCCTCCCCCCAGGCAGCACACCCTTCCTCTCTGATCTGAATGACCCAATCGCTCCATAAGCTGATAATCTAGACAGGGGATGGGGGATGGCGGATGGCGTCAGAGCTGCCTCTGCAGGCTGCTGGGCTCCTGGGGGCTCCTTTGCTGCCACAACCATCCCAGGTCTGCAGCCCAGGCCTAGAGCTCGCCACCCAGCGTCTGCAGCCAGTATCTTTCTCCGCAGGGTGTGTCTCACGCTCACAAAAAGGAGGTGGTGACAGCGGGTGCTCCAGCACAGTGGGGGCCTAGGGTCTGGGAGCACCTTCTAAGGGCTGGCAGATCCCAGGATGGGGTGGGGTGGGGGTAACCCAAGGATCAAGGTCAACATGGGTGATCCATATCTGGGACCCTCAGCGTGTCTCAAAGGCCCTTGGGCTGAACAGAGGGAGGAGGAGGCTAAGGAGACGGCAGAACCCTGCGTGGAAGCCCCCTCCTGGGGACTCAGTGCCAAGCCTCTGCCACCCCACCCCACCTGCCAGGCCCTGCCTTTACTTTAAGATGGGAAACTGAGGCTCAGGAAAGGGGTGAGACCAGCCCACGGTCACACCAAGGAGACTGGACAGAACCCCAGGCCTTATTCCATCAGTTCTTCCCTCCACCACATCCCCGCCCAGCTTGTGTGTGTGTGTATGGGGCGGGGGAGGGGGGGTTTGGCTATTTGATTCCTTCACGAGCAGTTTGGAAAGCTTCTGAGTTCTAATCTGCACCTCTTCACGGCTGAGATGGCCACAGCCACCAGGCCTCCCACACCCTCTCCTGCAGGCCCAGCAGAGCCTCCTGCCCTGGGACGTGGAACCAAGAGCCCAGCCAGAGGCCCAGGACCCTGAGAGGGACACAGTTGGGGGGGGGGGCACTGTGGGCCAGGGGGTCCTGCACCTGGCACTTGCCTCGATGTCCTCATCAGGTGCATGGGGCAGTCACCTCCCACCGAAAACTACAAGAGCCAAATTGAACTCCAGCACAGGGAGGAGGGAGGGGCTGGGAGAGTGGACAGCACTATACTGCCCTCTGGTCTTTAACTGCCTCTCAAACCAGCAGGGTGTAAATCCAGGCTGGAGGAAGACAGGGAGGGGGTGAGGCAGAGACCAGAGAGGGGAGGGGTGATGCCAGCCGGGGCTGCAGGGGGGTGGGCAGCCCGGCCCCAGGCCCTACCTGGTCCCCTCCTGCCTCCCAAGGATCTGCCAGCGAGGCCCTATTAACCACTACAGTATTGTTATTTGCAGCCAAGAGGGACTCATTAGTCAGTTAGCACCTCCGTTGTCACCATGGCAACAGCAGAGGTGCCAGGCAACCGCTCCTCCTGCCTCAGCAGCCACTGAGCAAGCTGGCTCTGTAGAGCGGCAGGTCCCCCTCCTCACTTGCTCCCCCTCCCCAGCCTTGCAGGTGCCCAAGACCTGGGGCCCGGGACCACCACCAGCCAGGGCCCATGAGGCCCCACCCCTCTCCACCCTGCACAGGCTCCGAATGGCCAAGGTCTGGCCAGAGCCCCTCCTGCAGGAGACCCCTTGCCCGGGGCTGGCCTCCCGGGAGCGCATCCTCACCCACAGGCCTCCGTGGACCTACAGCTTCCCTCTCCCTCTTGGGATGTGTGGATGGGGCTGAGCACTGGGCACAGAGTGGGGATCGGGTGGGAAGGCTCAGGACAGCCTTGAGCAGTCCCGTGGGGCTAGAGCAGGCCAGGTGGGCACAGAGGAAACAGCTATTGTAGGGTCTTGGACCTCCTTGCTTTCAAGGACCCACCCCAGCCTCAGCCCAGACTCCATTCCTGGGAAGTGAAGGGAGAGCCGACCACCTCCTATTCGGAGCCTGGGTGTGGGAGGGAGAGAGGCACAGCCCACACCCCACACCAAAGGCTGCTCCCAGTCCAGAGGCAGGAGACCCTTCCCTGTCCTGGCTGGTGCAGCCTGGCTCGTGTGCCAAGTGCACACCGCTATGCCTGCTGGGACATGCCCCTTTACACACTGACCACACACAGAGCCATGCTCACCCCTTTCCCACAATGCACCTCACCCCACCCTGCCATGTATAGTTACTCACACGCAAATGTGTGTGCACACACATGTGGTCACTGGACACAGGTGTCCTCACCCTCTGCATGTCACACCCAATCCCTCCAGGTCCCAGGACACCCAAACCCCAGTGCCAGCCTCATGACTTTACACCATTGCTCCCAGGGCCTCCGTGCAGCACACGCATGTCCCTGAGTGCATGCATGACCAGGAAACCCAGCTGACAGAACCCTCGCCACTGTGCCTTCTGCTCGGCATCTAGTGACAGGAGCTCACTACCTGCAAAGGTGGCTAGGCATCAAGACTGTGAGGGTGGGACTGTGGCTCTTCCTCAGAGGAGTGGTGCCTGGCACAAGTAGGCAGACGCTCAGGGAAGCCAGTGTGGAAGGACCTGAGATGTCCAGCTCACTATGACCCAGGGGTGGAGAGGCCACACCGAGAGCCCCCCAGAGGCAGGACTCCCGCGCTCCCAGCAGGTTAGCCCACATCACCCCACCGATGCTCACCAGGGACTCCAAATGCTCACACCCCTGCTCCCCTCTTGGCACCCAGGGATGGCTAGGACAGGACCCAAGCTGGCTTCACTCCCCTGCCCAGCCCAGGGAGGCTATGGACTCAGGAGATAGTGGAGTGGGGGCTCTGCCCCCTTGGTGCCCAGGGGCCTGGGGTGAGCCTGGGGTGGGAGGGCTTGGCATGTGGGGCCTCAGAAAGGCAGGTGGGGGACGACCCTGCAATATCTGGGCTTCCTCTGCTCCTGCCTGGCTTTTTCTAGCCTCGCTGATCTGCAGGGCTTGTCCCCAGGTTGCACACCAGGCCTGCCCAGGCTGCTGCTGGTCACCACCCTCCAGGTTTCCCACCTGGACCAGCCCAGAGCATCTCCCCGTTCCTGCCCAGGCAGAGCTGTCCTAGAGAAGTGCCTCAGCTCCTGCACCCCCGGCAGTCTGACCACGGCTCTTTGCTGTGGGTTCGGCCCCCTCCTCCCCTTTCCCTCTGAGCGTCACATCTTGGAAACATAACCAGGATTCCCTCTCTCCTCCCCTGGCCACAGCCATGGCCCTTGGAGCCCTCTGTCCAGGAGCAACTTCTGTACCCAAAGTCAGCCTCAGCCTGAGCGGAGACGTGGTGCTGGGAAGGGCCCTGGAGCACAGGAGGGCTCGGAGCATCTTCCTGCATCTCCATCTGTGGGACTCACTGCTCCTGGAGGCAGCTGCTGGGGCCAGGAGCCTTCCCCCCGGCTGAGGGCAGCAGGGGTGAGAACCTGCCCAGCAACTCTCCCAGCCCTGCTGATGGCCAGATCCAGGATACAGCCCATCCTTGGCCAGCACTCATTAGCCATCGGAGAGGGCAGGGGACATCTGTCCTCTGAGCAGGGAGGGGCGCTGATGCTGCTCACAGCCCAGGGCTGCCCTGGGGGCAAGGTCTGGGGCCCAGAGCAGAGAGAGCACTGCTCTCCTGGCCCGCAGCACACCCACGGCACCCCACGCTGCACAACAGGAGCACTGCAGATGCCACACCAGACCCTGCCACTGCTCCTCCAGCCCCCTTCCCACTCTCCCTCCACTGCTGCAGCCAGAGGCACATTCTCCCAGGATGTGATAACCTGCTATGGCTGGGCCCAGTGATGCCCCCTCCCCTCCAGGCCAGACTGCTGTGTACCACCCCAGGTGGGCAGACAGGCAGAGGGAGGCCGGCTACACTCAGCCTGGCAGTGCCAGCCCCTCCCCCAGCACCCGGGCTGCCTCCGCAGCAGCCTGGCGACTGTCTTTATTCCGCAGTGGCCAGCTGAGCACCCGGAGGTGGGGGTGCCAGCGGCGGCCTGGGTACACAGGAGAGGTGGATCTGCAGCCCCCCCCCCCCCCATGACCCCATGAGTCCTTTCCTGAGCCTTCCACAGGCCAAAGGCCCTCAGCTCCCGTAGCGACAGCCTCTGCACCCGCACAAGCCCGCATTAGGGACGACCTTCTCCAATTCTGCGCCCCAAGGGGGGGGGGGGGGCTGAGTGTGTGTGTGTGTGTGTGTGTGTGTGTGTGTGCGGGGGGGCGGCGGCGGCGTCGCAGGCTAGCGCAGTGGCCCCGACAGATACCCTCTGGATCTCAAATGGTCCCTCTGGGTCCTTAATCCATACCCCTCCCCCCACCAAGATAAGCAGCAATCACAAGGAGAAAGGCGGGGAAGCGGTGGCAGGGCGTGGGCCAGGCCCCAGGCCGCTGGGCGCTGCAAGAGGCGGGGGAAGGGCTTCCCTGTCCGGTCGTGGCATCCCTTCGAGCTGGGTTTAGGGCCCGCAACCCGTGCGCCGGGGCCGCTCACCTTCGGGCCGCCTCCTCCTCCCGGGAGCCCTCCAGACGCAGCCCCCGAGCGCTCCCGAGGTGACGCACCCCCGGGCCGGACGCACGGGCTCCGTGCGGTTACCCTCCTCCCCACTGGCGTCCCCCGCCCGGCGACCCGCTCACCTCGTTCACGCTCGCCTCCGGGGCGCACCGGGGACCCGCGTCGCGCTCAGCGCGCAGGGTCAGATGCGCCGCCCATGGGCCCGGCTGGGGCGCACGCAGCCGGGGCAGGGGACCGGGGAGCGTTCGGGCCGCGTCGCCGTCGCCGCCGTCGCCGCCACGGCCGCCGCGGGGAGCGCTGGCTCGGGCCGGGACGCGCGCACTGCGGGCGGGCACGCGCACTCACGGCGCGCATCCCACCCGCGGCTCGGCGGGCGCGGCCGGTGCTGCTGAGGCTCGGGCTCGGCTCGGGCTCGGGCTCTGGCGTCCGGATGGGGGGCGCGGAGCCGGCTCGGCCACGGCTCGCCCGCAAGTGACAGGCCCGGGGCGGAGGGCGGGGCCGCCGGCGGGGATGAGGTCATGCCGAGCGAAAAAAGCCCCTGACGTCACCTGCAGCCAATCAGCGTGCGGGGCTCGGGGGCAGGTGACCTCAGCCGGAGCCCAGCTTTGGGTGCAGATGAGAGGCGGAGGGCGGGGGGCCGGGCTCGCCGCTACTGCCCTCCGCCCTCTGCCCTCACCCCGCACCCGGGCACTGGCTCTTAAAGGGGCCGCGAGAGGTCCCTGTGCGCGCCTGGGACCCCATCTTTCCCAGCTCCATCTCTCTGCCTCTCGCGGGGACCCCCCGCCTCACCGCACACAGACCCGCGGTGGGTCCGGCTGACCGGGTTCCCCGCGAGTCTTCTCCCCGCCGGTCGGGCCTGAGCTGGCGCCGGCCCCCCGCCCCCCGCCCCCCGCAGCCTTTGTTCGCGTGGGGCCTGCCGCCGGGAGAGCCTTCGCCAGCGGGCCGGCCCGTGAGGACGCCCTGCGCGCGCTCTCCCTGCGGCATCTGCGCTCACCCGTCTCCGCGACTCCCGGAGGTGGGAGCGCGCGTCCCCACTTAGCTGGGGAGGAGCCTGGGAGCTCGGAGGCGGGATGGGTCGCCTCGGTCACACATCTCATGGACTGTGGTGTGTGGGGGGGGTGTACAGTGCCGCGCCGTCCCCCCTCCCCCGCCCCACCGAAAACCTCTAGCCCTTGACGTTTCCAGTGAAAAGCACCCCTAAACAGGCTCACCGGGCCCACCCCGACAGTGTGCCTCCCCCCAATAAAGACTATGGGGGTCCGCCCCCAGCCAGTCCCTGTGGGAACACACCAGCCGGCCGCTGGGACGCCGGAGTCCAGAGCGGGAACAAACACAGGTAATTACACCTCGGGCAAGTGTGGCCGGAAGCAAACAGGGTCAGGTACATGGAGCAGGTGGGCGTCCCCAGAGGCCACCCCAGGAGGTGACCTCGCAAAAGAGGACCTTGTCTCTCCCCCAGAAGGAGGCCGGGGCGCCGAAGGGGCAGAGGACAGGCAGCCACGCACCTATTGATCGTCAAATATTTACTGAGCGCCTTCTCAGGGCCAGGCCCCGTGCCAGAGCTGGGACTTATTTCAGAGAAAGGGCACAAACGGCTCTGCTCCGGGAGCTGACCAGCCCTAGGAGCCTGGAAGGTAATTATTTGGGGGAGGTATAGCTAGACAGCCCAGACATTTAAATATATATATATATATATATATATATATATATATATATATATATATATATATATAATTGATTTCAGAGAGGAAAGGAGATGGAGAGAAAGAAACATCAATGATGAGAGAATCATTGATCATCTGCCCCCTGCACGCCTCCTCCTGGGGATCGAGCCTGCAACCCGGGCAAGTGCCCTTGACCGGAATTGAACCTGGGACCCTACAGTCCGCAGGCTGATGCTCTACTCAATAAGCCAAACCAGCGAAGGCCCAGACATTTCTGAACCCCTCCTTCCCTGGGGTACCCAATGGAGAGTGAAGGTGGTTCCTCCTCTAGCCTGAGCCCTAGCCAGTGCAGGTCTCTAGGGCCACGAACTCTGAGAGGGGCTCAGTCCCCAGGAAGCACAGCCCCTCCTCATGGAGGAAGGAGTGATGGCCGTCAGCCATCGCTGGTTGAAAGAAGGGTCAGGAAGACGAAGTAGGCAGGACTGGCCTGTTTCCTCAGGGCCAGGTGGGCGATCAGGACCCCAGAGCTCTGAGCAGGAACAGGGTCAGGAGGTGTGTGCTGGCCAGGGTTCAGGAGCGGCCCTCCCCCGTCCCATACCCAACTCCCCCACCAGACTGCTGCTCAGAGCTTAGCACATAGTAGGAGTTTAGTAAGTGCTTGGGGCCTCCTCCCTTGTTGGCCTGAAGAGCAGCAGGTGTGTGTGTGTGTGTGTGTGTGTGTGTGTGTGTGTGTGTGTGTAGTGCCTGGCTCAGAGCCAGCACTCAGGAGAGACAAACAACCTGGGGGCAGGAGGATGAAGCACAGGGAACCAGGGGCTATTTAGGGCTGGAGCTGGGCTCAGGGCCTTCCTCCTTCCCTGAGCCAGGCTGGGCCCCAAAGAAGGAGAGCCCTGCTCAGAAGAGAGGTCCTGGCCAGCGGGGGACTGTGAGCTCAACAGGGGAGATACCGAGCAAGGATGCATGGCCAGGTCAGCTACTGGGGGTGTGGTGGGCCTGGCTGCACTGGGCTCACTCCATGTCTGAAAAGTGGGGAGGCTGGGCCTTGGGAGGGCCAGGAGAGGACCATGGAAGCCCCGACAGACCCGCAAGGGCCTGGACCCACAGGAGTTGTCCATGTTTTTCTAGAACTGTGTGTGTGTGTGTGGGGGGAGGGTTGAGAGAGGGCGATGCCTAAACCAGCTTTCTCCCCCTGCCAGGCCCAGGGTGGGCCCAGTGGGTGGGAGGAAGGTAGAGGTAGGGGGCTAGGGGTGGGTAGGGGTGTCCAAGGGGGTGGGGGGTGGGAGAGCTCCTTTTCTGCCAAGCCCAGATGTGGTCTGGGGGTACCCTTGGTCCCTAAGAACTCTGGCTGTGTTCTGAGCCGATGACAGTAACTGAGGGGCTGTCCTCGGGGTCCCCTTCTGGAAGTAGCCAGTGTGTGGGTGACAGGTTCCCAGGCTGTGCCTGACCAGGGGAATATACTTAGGCCACGAGTATTTTATAACCTACGGTTATTTCTCCCCCAAATGAGCCATTAAAACCTGGCGTTCTGCAACAGGGGCAGCGGGGTAGGGAGGTGTCCACTCTGGAGAGGGCGGTGACTTTCCAAGCCACCAGCTCTGGCCCTGGGTTCTTTCCAGCCCCGGAGCTAGAGTCTACCCCTCCCCAGCTTTTGGCTGCGCCCTCCCATCAGAGCGTTGGCACCTGATGGCATGGGCTCTGAGCCTCAGGCCCCCAGCCAGGATCAGCTCCGCAGGGCAGCCAGCACCTCCTCTGGGCGCAGGTGTGGAGGGGCAGGGAGGCCCGGGGAGCGCGCTGCGGAGGGTCTGAGGTGGGCCACCTGCGAAAGCGAACACCTGTCGGGTTTACAGCTCCGCAGCGGGGCCTGGCCTCCCGCAGTGGCCGCCGAGCCAGTCGGGGCAAAGTCCAAGCCCAAACGTCCGCTGGGCCCTGGCTCCCCGGCTCCCCACAGACGATCGCACGCTGGCCTGGGTGGGCGTGCAGGGCCCCGCGCAGAGCCCGGGAGGTGGCTAGGCGGCGTCCGGTGTCTGGTCCGGTCCAGCCTGATCTTTTGTCTCGGGCTCCTGGCTCGCGGGTTGGACAGCCTCAGGTGGGACCCGCGCTCCCTGTCGGGCAGGTCGGAGCGCCGCGGTCCCGGCGCTCCCGGCGGTCCGTGCGCGCCCTCTGCCGCCCGCCTGCACCCCTGGCGCAGCCGGGAGGACGCCCTAGGCAGGCGTTTCTCAAAGCATCCTTCCTTCTGGTGCAACGGGAAAGCGGGTTCGCTTTTTTCTTGCTAATTTGCAACTCAGCACACGCTTGGTAGCCGTTTATTCAGGGTTTCCATTTCCCACGACCTGACTTTTTAAAAGGCCAAGGCCCAGTTAGTAAAATGCACGTCTCAGATGAACAGTAGAACATGGTTTTGACAACCATATGCGCCCGGTTGGTTACCAGGCATTTCCGTCCTCAGAGAGCTCCCTGCCCCTTCACAGACAGTGGTCCACTCACCTTCGGACCTATCACGGCGGGGGCATGCTGCCTGTTCTTGAACTTCACGGACATGGCACGCTTTTGTGTTCACTCAAGGAAATGCTTTTGAGATTCCCACCACCCAGTGATCAATCTCGGTGGTGTTTGTATTTTATGGACGGGCGGTGATATTCAACCAGCTCTCTATGTTGTCAGCTCATTCCCCCATTCCAGCTACTAAGAACAATGCAGTGGGCAGCGTCTTTCTATGTGCCCTTAGTAACACATTACAGGTGATTTTATTTCTTGTGTTTTTTATTATGATATTTAAAAACTTACAAATAAGCACAGTGAGAACACTATAACAAACACCTATGCCCTAGACCAGTGGTGGGCAAACTGTGGCTCGTGAGCCACACGCGGCTCTTTGGCCCCTTGAGTGTGGCCACGAAGTTTCAATCGCACTGTACGTGCACAGCCACACATGGTATTTTGTGGAAGAGCCACACTCAAGGGGCCGCAGTTTGCCGACCACTGCTCTAGGCCTCACCATGTCGGCATTTTTCTTTTTTTAACATGTAATTTAATTCAATTTATTTATTTATTTTAAAATCTTTATTGTTGAGACTATCACAGCTGCCCCCCCTTTTCCCTTCGTTGCCCCTTTCCACGCAGGTCCATCCCACCCCAGGCCTTCACCACTCTGTTGTCTGTGTCCGTAGGTGATGCCCATGTGCACATAAGTTCTTTGGTTAATCTCTTCTGCCACCCCCCACCCCTTCCCTCTGAGGTTCGTCAGTCTGTTCCATGTTTCCATGCCTCTGGTTCTATTGTATTCACCAGTTTATTTTGTTCATTAAATTTCTTGCTCATTTATTTTTATTTTTACATTCAATTGTTCATCGTTATGTATTTATTTCCCCTTCTTCTTCTTTTTTTTCAAAAACGCCCTTCAACATTACATGTAACACTGGTTTGGTGGTGATGAACTCCTTTAGCTTATTCTTGTCTGTGAAGCTCTTTATCTGACCCTCAATTCTAAATGATAGCTTTGCTGGGTAGAGTAATCTTGGTTGTAGGTTCTTGCTATTCATCACTTTGAATATTTCTTGCCACTTCCTTATGGCCTGCAAGGTTTCTGTGAGAAATCAGCTGACAGTCGTATGGCTACTCCCTTGTAGGCAACTGACTGTTTTTCTCTTGCTGCTTTTAAGATTCTCTCTTTGTCTTTTGCTCTTGGCATTTTAATTATGATGTGTCTTGGCTTGGGCCTCTTTGGATTACTCTTGTTTGGGACTCTCTGAGCTTCCTGGATCTGTAAGTCTATTTCTTTCACCAGGTAGGGGAAGTTTTCCATCATTATTTCTTCAACTAGGTTTTCAGTATCTTGCTCTCTCTCTTCTTCTGGCACCCCTATAATTCTGATGTTGGTACGCTTGAAGCTGTCCCAGAGGCTCCTTACACTATCTTCATATTTTTGGATTACTTTTTCTTTTTGCTCTTCTGATTGGGTGTTTTTTGCTTACTCATATTCCAAATCCCTGATTTGAGTCTGGGCATCCTCTACTGTTGATTATCTGTAGATTATTCTTAATTTCAGTTAGTGTATCTTCATTTATTTTTTTTTAAATATACTTTTATTGATTTCAGAGAGGAAGGGAAAGGAAGAGAGAGATAGAAACATCAATGATGACAGGGAGTCATGACTGGCTGCCTCCTGCACGCCCCACACTGGGGTTCGAGCCTGCAACCTGGGCGTGTGCCCTGACCAGGAATTAGTTTTCTGTTCAGGCAGCTTCAAAATTCAGAAAATGTCTTAAGGGGAAGATCTGCCTGTGTCTGTGGCAGAGACTGTTATCTGGGAGGACATTGTGGGCTCAGCACCACAAGGTGACTAGAGTCCAGTGGCTGTGGTAGCCTCAGGTCAGCCACGTGGCCTCGCTCAGGCTCCAGAGATCACAGTGTCCCTGTCCCCTATGCCAGCACTGGCGAGTGCCAGCATAGGTTTCTCTCTCTCCGGGGAGAGCCCCTCTTTCTGGGTGAAGCCTGCGGGTCAGCCCACACCCAGATGTGACTAATTCCCCAAAGGACGAGAGCGCAGAAACGATGCTCAGGGCATCTCAGAATGGCATTGCTCTCCAGACTTTTCTGTGGTCTCCATGGCCTCCCCAGATCTCTACCGTCATATAGGATTATTCTTACACTTTGAAACACCACCTACAATTTGCTGATGCCTTTTAACCTGTGGGTTTTGTCACTGAGTGGCCTTTGCTAACTGCTGCAGTGGATGGCTGCCCTCCCAGAAGCATCGTGTCCCTCAGAAGCAGGAACTCGCTCTCCTGGTTTCCATCAGGAGAGATCACCAGGCCTCTCAGAGGTCAGGACTGTGGGCGCAGAACAGGCTGCGTAGCTCCTGTCCTGGCTCCAGAGCTGTCCACGGTGAGGCTGTAGATGAGGGTCCCTGCTCTGTGGTTGTCCCAGGGCGGGACCAGCCTGCTGCCCCACATGGTTGAGATATCACGGCTGAGGATACCACATGGTATCCGGGAGGGCAGGACAAGGTGCACTAGTCACACGGGGAGGCCCTGAGGGGGCAGGCAGGCACAGTGGCCTGAGTGAAGAGAGGGACCATGCTTCTGTCAGGGGAGCAGTCTGGGCTTAGGGTGTCTGCGCAGGCTGGGGTGTAAGGGGTTCTATTTCCCCACCAGCGGCAATGGGCCTTCTCATTGGCTCACCCTGTGTGCGTGTGCGGGGTGGGGAGGGGGGAGGGCTGAAAACCGTCAATGGTCCAACATGAACAATGGAGTCTGGCTCATGTGGCACTTACTCTTTGTGCTTTGATTATTTTAAAAATTTTAAATTGATTTTAGAGAGAGGAAGGGAGAGGGAGAGAGAGAAACATTGAGGTAAGAGAGAAATATCAATTAGTTGCTTCTTGTATGCACTCCAACTGGGGATCAAACCCACAACCTGGGCATGTGCCCCGACTGGGAGTCAAACTGATGGCCTTTCGGTGCACTGGACGATGGTCAAACAACAGAGCCACAGCGGCCAGGGCTGCCGTGAGCCGGCTGTGAGGGCCCAGCATGGTGCCGGAGCCACATGAGAGCACACAGAGGCGACTGCCTTTTGGTCTGGCTGCTTCAGCAAAGATAATGGGTCCACACCTGCCCCTGCTGAGCCCTGAGCCCTGAGCCCAGAGGGGGCGTGTGCAGACTCACCTACCCAGCCATCACCAGTCACGTCTCTGGGGCTGTTACCACTCGGAGACCACTTCCTGGCCACTTTACAGGTGTGGACACTGAGGTCTGGGAGGAGAGGGATCACTCAGGCTGTTCGCCAGTCGGCGTAGTAAACACACAGGGAGTCTGGGAGACGAAGGGCAGGTCAGAGCTGGCAGAGGGCACCCTGGAAGGGGATCCCTGAATTGAGCGTGGCCACAGGTGCTACTGCAAAGCCTGCGGTCTCCCCACAGAGGAATATAAACAGATAAACACACCGACACATCAATGGGGTCTGGGGCACGGGCTTTATTAGATGCTAAAAGGAAGACAGACACCACCCAGTGGCCTTTGCAGGAGCAGGACTGAGGGACCTGTGCTGTCCCCGCTCAGATGTCCCCACTGGAGAAGGTGTCAGGTGGGCAGGGCTTGGGGACAGGCCTTTGCTGCAGGTGGGAGACAGAGCTCTGCAAGTCATTCTTGGACACAGGTGCCCATGGCATTTCTTGCAGGAGGTCAAAGAGGACTGCTCACAGGTGGTAAGGGAGGAGGACGGGAAATAGGGCTGTGGTGGAGAGAGACAGTCCTTCAGGGGGTGCTGGGAGAGGCAGGAGCGGGGTAGGCTGGAACCCATGACTCCTGACCCAGACGGCACCAGCTTTGGGAAGAGTCCCAGCAAAACCCAAAAATCAGATCTTGCACTGGCAGCAGACAGGGGCACAGCAGCAGGGTTTGCAGCAGCTGGACTGGCAGCAGCAGGGTTTGCAGCAGCTGGACTGGCAGCAAATGGGGGCACAGCAGCTGGACTGGCAGCAGCAGGGTTTGCAGCAGCTGGACTGGCAGCAGCAGGGTTTGCAGCAGCTGGACTGGCAGCAGCAGGGTTTGCAGCAGCAGACAGGCACACAGCAGCTGGAGCCACAGCCTCCCTTGCAGCCCCCACAGGAGCCACAGCCCCCCTTGCAGCCTCCACAGGAGCCACAGCCCCCCTTGCAGCCCCCACAGGAGCCACAGCCCCCCTTGCAGCCCCCACAGGAGCCACAGCCCCCCTTGCAGCCCCCACAGGAGCCACAGCCCCCCTTGCAACCCCCACAGGAGCCACAGCCCCCCTTGCAGCCCCCACAGGAGCCACAGCCCCCTTTACCACAGCTGGAGCAGGAACAGGCTGGCACACAGCAGCACACGGGCTTACAGCAGCACACGGGCACACAGCAGCTGGAGCCACAGCCCCCACAGCTGGAGCCACAGCCCCTGGAACAGCAACAGCAGCTCATGGTTCTGGTGGTTGAGGGTGGAGCAGGTCAGAGGAGCAGGTGGAGAGGATGTGGTCAGGTGTGGAGCCTCCTGGGCCGGGGGCCTTTATATACCTGCCAGGGTCAGGGGTCAGATGGGATTCTGGGCACATGGTTGTTTCCTGGTTCCTGTTTGTGCCATATTTAGGACCTCTTTCACTTGTTTTCCTAGATTTTAGATCCATGTGCCATTACCTGCTGTCAATCGCACATCGTGACCCAATTCCTTTGCTCAGTCCACGTTCAGACTTGAGGGAGCCCCCTCACCCTAAGGTCCAGCTCATTTCCATTGCCTGGAGTGTGTGTGTGTATATATATATATTTCAGAGAGGAAGGAAGGGAGAGGGAGAGAGGAATAGAAACATCAAGATGTGAGTGAATAATTGATTTGCTGCTTCCTACACGCCCCACACTGGGGATGGAGCCCAAAACCAGGGCACGTGCTCCACTGGGAATCAAACCATGACCTCCTGGTTCATAGTTCGATGCTTAACCACTGAGCACACCAGCTGGGCCGATTTGATTTTTTAAATATTTTTTAATTGATTTTTTTAGAGAGAGAGAGGAAGGGAGAGGGATAGAGAGAAACATTGATGAGAGAGAAACATCCATCAGCTGCCTCCTGCACACCCCTGACAGAGTATCGAGCCCACAACCTGGGCATGTGCCCTGACCAGGAATTGAACTGGTGATTTCTTGGTTCCTGGGTGGACTGACGCTCAACTGCTGAGCCACACTGGCTGGGCTGATTTGATTTTTAAAAAACGATGTATTTTAGCTGTGCAAAGGGTATAAATAATATCTCTCTATATAAACAGGGAATACGCTAATAGCCGGGCGTTATGCCTGCTCAGGAGCGGCTGCGCGAGCAGATGGGTGGGAGGGGACTGTGTGCCGCCCCCACCCCAGTGGCCACGGGGAGGCTGGGGCTAGGGGCAGGCTGGAATGGAGACACAGCACCCAGGAGCGCCTACCCTACCCCAGCGGACACAATGCAGCGGCCAGCGGGCGCCGGTGGGAGGCTGGGCGCCTCCTCCGGCGATTTCAATCGCCCGCTGGGCCTCTAGTCCTATCTAATAAAAGAGAAACATGGTAATTGGCGTATGACCACTACCCTTCCCATTGGCTAATCAGGGCGATATGCAAATTAACTGTCAGCCAAGATGGCGGCCGGAAGCCAGGCAGCTTGAAACTAACATGAGGCTTGCTTGCTTCAGTGACGGAGGAAACCAACGTTCCCCGCCTGCCTTGCAGGCCTCTGAGCCTGCAGTTTGAAACATTTTAACAAATATAGAATCTTAAAAAAACCCCAGAAACCAGCTTTCAGCGAGCCGGGATCTCAGAGCTGGAGTCAGAGCTGGAGTTATACATTGTTTCGAACCGAAACAAACCAGATACCTACTTTCAGCAGCGGAGGCCTAAGAGCTGGAGCCTCAGAGCTAAACCTGGCCCAGAATTAAAAAAGAAAAAAGAAAAAAAGGAGCGGTTGGGAGCTTCCGTCACCCGCCAGACTGAAAACAGCCCTCAGCCCCTCACCCAGGCTGGCCAGGCACCCCAGTGGGGACCCCCACCCTGAATGGTGTGTGACCAGCTGAAAACAGCCCTCACCCCTCACCCAGGCTGGCCAGGCACCCCAGTGGGGACCCCCACCCTGATCCAGGACACCCTTCAGGGCAAACCAGCCAGCCCCACCCATGCACCAGGCCCCTATCCTATATAGTAAAAGGGTAATATGCCTCCCAGCACCGGGATCAGCAGAGCCAAGAGGCCTCCTGGCACCGGGATCAGTGTGACAGGGGGCAGCGCCCAAACCCCCTGATCGCCCTGCAGCTCTGTGACAGGGGGCGGGGCCACAACCTCCCTATCCGCCCTGCTCTGTTTGTGATAGGGGAAGGTGCCCCAACCTTCTGATCAGCCCTGCTCTGTGCCTGATACATGGGAGCTCCCCAACCTCTGATCACCCTGCGGCTGTGTGTGTGACAGGGTGCGGCGCCCCAACCCGCTGATCGGCCCTGCTCTGTGTGTGACAGGGTGCGGCGCCCCAACCCGCCCCCCCCCCCCCACGGGCCCTGCTCTGTGTGTGACAGGGGGCGGTGCCCCAACCCCCCAATCGGCCCTACCCTGAGCCCGTCCAGGGGTTGCACCTAGGGATTGGGCCTGCCCTCTGCCACCCGGGAGCAGGCCTAAGCCAGCAGGGCGTTATCTCCCGAGGGGTCCCAGACTGCGAGAGGGCACAGGCCGGGCTGAGGGACCCCCCCCTTCCATCCGAGTGCACAAATTTTTGTGCACCGGGCCTCTAGTATCAAATAAACATGTAATAAGCTATGAAAAGAATCATAAAGCTAGATAAGCTCCTTCACGCATCTGTCCAGATGTCCCCACCCTCCCCCCAATGGCAAACTCCTGAGTTTGGAGTTTAGCACTCCCATGAGGTCTTTACATTCTTAATAAATATTTATGTTCTGCCAACACAGCATTTTGCATACTTTATACTTTATGGACTTGGTAAGATACTATATTTCTCCTGCAAATTGCTTTTGAAATGATCACATTAGAGATTTTTTTAAAAAATATTTTATTGATTTTTTTAGAGAGAGGAAGGGAGAGGGATAGAGAGTTAGAAACATGGATGAGAGAGAAACATCGATCAGCTGCCTCTTGCACACCCATTACTGGGGATGTGCCCGCAACCAAGGTACATGCCCTTGACCGGAATCGAACCTGGGACCCTTCAGTCCGCAGGTCGACGCTCTATCCACTGAGCCACACCAGTCAGGGCCACATTAGAGATTTGTGCAGGGGCCCCCGGGGTGGCTGAGGTACAACCTTGAGTGTCTGCTTACCTGCTGGTGGATATTTTGTTTCCAGTTTGTTGCTATTTCATCCTGCACTATCAACCCTCGAACCCCCTGGGGCCCGGAACTGGAGCTCCCAGCTGGTCTTGCGCTGCACCCTGAGCCCTGAGCGGGCATTGCCAACTTGCCCTCTAAAGCCATCGTCCCAGCCGGCATCCCAGCCTGCGCTTGTCACTGTGAACTTAGTACCACGATCCTTCCCGGTTACTTGTGACACTTCACGCCTTTTCTGCTTCTTTGCCATTGGAATCTTCAGTTAATTTCCTCTCTGTTCCTTTGCCCACTGAACAAAATCGGGCTGCTTCTTATCCTATGGATTTCTGAAGTTCTTTGAGTTTTCTGGATTCTAATCAGTAACATGCATCACAACTATCTTTTCCCTGTCTGTGGCTTTTTTAAAAAAAGAACTTTCCCCCTTTTTGGTGATTTCTGGTATACCGGGTTTTAAAATTTGAATGTAATAAGATGTATTCATCTTTTTCTTAAGAGTTCATATTTTTGTTTTGTTTTTTTAATCTGGAAAATCCTTTCCTCCCCTAAAATTATTAAACAGATATAATCCTCTATGTATTATTTTTTTCAGTTTGAAAGTTTGGAGTTAAAAAGTCTATTCGGAATTTAATTTTGTGTATTACCTGACGTAGGGCTTCCATTTACTAAGTGAGTAATTGACCTGCCTGGTGTCGCTGTCTCCCGGTGGTCGGCAGAGTGAGGTCCTGCCCAGTTCCCGGCCTTCCTTCCGTCTGTCCCCGGCGTCTCTCCAGGACCGTGTTGGGACATCCGCTCCCTGACCAGCGGAGCCAAGATGACCCTGCATGGGCCAGCCTTCCTCTCTCTCTCCACAGAACCAGGTCCTGGAGTTTCATGAAGTAACCTTGTCAGGGTATTTATTGTACTTGCAGTGAATCAATAATTAATTTGTGAGAGAATGACCATTTTAATGTTTGAACATTCTTATCCATGACTGCCATATGTTTGTCAATTTATGTAGAAGGTCTTTAGAAGGTAAAACTTAAATGTTTTTTCCTCTACAAAGATCTTGCGTTTGTTATTTGTTCGTCATTGTTGTGTACCTTCGTGGGGAGGGGTTGTTCTTATAAATGGTACCTTATAGAGTTACATTTTCTTTTTTTTTCTTTTTAATTAAATCTTTATCGTTCAGATTATTACATTTGTTCCTCTTTTTCCCCCCATAACTCCCCTCCTCCCAGTTCCCGCCCCACCCTCCGCCCTCAATCCCCACCCACTGTCCTCATCCATAGGTGCACGATTTTTGTCCAGTCTCTTCCCGCATCTCCCACACCCCTTTTCCCCCCAAGAATAGTCAGTCCATTCCCTTTCTATGTCCCTGATTCTATTATAATCACCAGTTCATTCTGTTCATCAGATTATTTATTCACGTGATTCTTAGATTCACTTGTTGATAGATGCATGTTTGTTGTTCATAATTTGTATCTTTACCTTTTTCTTCTTCTTCCTCTTCTTAAAGGATACCTTTCAGCATTTCATATAATCCTGGTTTGGTGGTGATGAACTCCTTTAGCTTTTCCTTATCTGTGAAGCTCTTTATCTGACCTTCAATTCTGAATGATAGCTTTGCTGGATAAAGTAATCTTGGTTGTAGGTTCTTGGTATTCATCACTTTGAATATTTCTTGCCACTCCCTTCTGGCCTGCAAAGTTTCTGTTGAGAAATCAGCTGACAGTCTTATGGGTATTCCCTTGTAGGTAACTGAGTTTCTTTCTCTTGCTGCTTTTAAGATTCTCTCTTTGTCTTTTGCTCTTGGCATTTTAATGATGATGTGTCTTGGTGTGGTCCTCTTTGGATTCCTTTTGTTTGGGGTTCTCTGCGCTTCCTGGATCTGTAAGTCTATTTCTTTCACCAGGTAGGGGAAGTTTTCTGTCATTATTTCTTCAAATAGGTTTTCAATATCTTGCTCTCTCTCATCTTCTGGCACCCCTATAATTCTGATGTTGGTACGCTTGAAGCTGTCCCAGAGGCTCCTTACACTATCTTCGTATTTTCGGATTCTTTTTCATTTTGCTTTTCCGGTTGGGTGTTTTTTGCTTCTTCGCATTTCAAATCTTTGACTTGATTCTTGCGCTCCTCTGGTCTGCTATTGGGAGTCTGTATAGTATTCTTTATTTCAGTCAGTGTATGCTTAATTTCTAGTTGGTTCTTTACCACAACATCGAGGGTCTCATTAGATTTCTCGAGGATCTCATTAAGTTTATCGGCGGCTTCTAGACAGTTCTTGAGAGACCTTAAAAGTGTGGTTCTGAACTCTATATCTTCCATTGACAATTTTGTCCTGTTTCTTTGTCTCCGCATTTTGTTATGCTTTCTTGATGCACCCCCTAGTGGTCTTTGTGCGCAGTCTTGTAGTTAAGCCTTGATTGTTGTAGCTAATACTAGGGGGGATTTGACCTCCAGGCCAAGTGACTGTGAGAATCAGCTGTGTCTCTAGAGTTACATCTTCTATCTGCTGTTGATTCATTTTTGTATATTGATCTTGTTCTCAGCAACCTTGGGTCCTATTTTCAATTCTTTTTTTTTTTTTTAAATATATTTTATTGATTTTTCACAGAGAGGAAGGGAGAGAGATAGAAAGTTAGAAACATCGATGAGAGAGAAACATCGATCAGCTGCCTCCTGCACATCTCCCACTGGGGATGTGCCCGCAATCCAGGTACATGCCCTTGACCAGAATCGAACCCGGGACCTTTCAGTCCGCAGGCCGACGCTCTATCCACTGAGCCAAACCGGTTTCGGCTCTTTTTTTTTTTTTTTTTTACAGTTTTTATTGATTTCAGAGAGGAAGGGAGAGGGAGAGAGAGATAGAAACATCAATGATGAGAAAGTATCATTGATTGGCTGCCTCCTGCATGCCCCCTACTGGGGATCAAGACCACAACCCAGGCATGTGCCCCCGACTGGAATCGAACCCAGGACCTTCAAGTCTGCAGTCCAATGCTCTATTCACTGAGCCAAACCAGCTAGGGCTTAATTCTAATAAAGTATCTGTAGATGCTCCTCGGTTTCCTGTGGACACTCATGTGTTTTTGTGAATTATTCGTTATTCCTTTTTCCCCATCTTTATAACTTTTATTTCTCTTTATGCCTTACTGTGCTGTCAGGACGCTGTCATATAGTCTTGCTCATTCCCGATGTTAAAGGTAATGCTTCTAACCTATACCGTTAGGGGAAATGCCTTTTGTAAACTTTTGGCAGAAAATTTCGTCAGATTAAGGGAGGTCCCTTTATTCCTAATTTGGCAATAATTTTCCCTTTGTCTTCAGTGGGCGTAGACCTTCACTGAATGCGTTCTGCAGCCACTGAAACGGCCGGAGAGGTTTCTCCTGTGGTTACTATGGTGACTTTCAGAATGAATTTAAACATGCAAGTGGCCTTGCCTCCCTGGGCGTCGTCCCCAGTGGCTGGCACACAGTTTAGGTGAATAACGCGTTTTTAGGTGAAGAACGAGATGGCAGTGCTTGCACTTCTCCCCACCGCCACCCTCTGGTGGCGCCTGTGAGCTGGCTGTGGCCCCGCGCTTCCTGCGTGTGGCAAGGTTTGTCCGACGGGGGATTCCTCATTCCCTGGCCGCTGGGCAGAACCTGTCTGTGCAGTGATGCAGCAGGGAGTGTGGGGAGGGCGAAGGTTTGCCCACGGGATGCGTAGAGCAGACCCGTCCCTCGTCCTTTCCCGTTTCTTCCGCCGGTGAGATGCAGCTCATCCGGGTTTCCACGGCTTGCAGCTGCCTTCCCGCAGCCCCTGTTTGAGCTCCTGCCGCTGGGGGGCGTCTGGGCCCGCTCCGCCCTCCCTCCTCCTTCCCTTCCAGGCCTCTGACCAACTTTGCTCACTGGTGTCGATCTTCGATCTTCTCAGCCTTTTCAAAGACCAGCTCGGGATGGTATTGACGCCCTTTACGGTTTGTTTCAACATTTGTTTACTTCCTCCTTCTCTATCATTTTTCTCTGTTGTTGTTTTTCTACTCTCTTAATGTGAATGCTCATTCATCTCCAATCTTCCTTTGTCTGGCTCCAGCATTTAGGGCTAGACATTACTTTAAAGTAAGGTTTGGTTAGGTAGCCCAAGTCTGGGCACCTAGTATCTTCATGATCAGTCAGTTCTAACTATTGTCTCTTTTATTTTAAGTCCTCACCCGAGGATGCTTTTTAGAGAGAGGAAGAGAGAGAGAGATAGAGAGATCAACCGGTTGCCTCCCATACCCAATGGGGGATTGAACCCGAAACCTGGGCATGTGCCCTGATCAGAAATTGAACCCACAGCCTTTTGGTTCATGGATGCTGCGTCAACCAACAGAGCCACATCAGCAAGCACTGTCATATGGTTTTAAAATATATAATATATTTGTATTGATTTCAGAGAGGAAGGGAGAGGGAGAGAGGGAGAGATAGAAGCATCAATGATGAGAGAGAATCATGGATCGGTTGTCTCCTGCACGCCCCACACTGGGGATCAAGCCCCCAACCGGGGCATGTGCCCTGACCGGGAATCAAACTGTGACCTCCTGAGTCATAGGTTGATGCTCAACCACTGAGCCACACATTTTTTGCTTTGACTGATTTAGAAGTTATACACTACATTCCGTTTCAGTGACAACCCTATGCATTTTATTCTGAAAAATTTATTTATTTATTTTTCATTTCATGCCTGTTTTAGACAAGACTGTCTAAATATAATGACACCTTTTCCTGCCCCGCCCCAGGAGTGCCAGGAACTGGGACGGAGGCCGCTCACCCCTTCGCGTCATGCGTGGGTGTTTGCCAGCGTCTGGGCTGCCCCTCGGCCCTTCCTTCCCTCCAGCTCATTGTTTATTTACACAGTCGTGTGCTCACCACCCACCTGCTCACCACCCGCGTGCTCACCACCCGCGTGCTCACCACCCACCTGCTCACCACCCACCTGCTCACCACCCGCCTGCTCACCACCCGCCTGCTCACCACCCGCCTGCTCACCACCCGCCTGCTCACCACCCGCCTGCTCACCACCCCCCTGCTCACCACCCGCCTGCTCACCACCCGCCTGCTCACCACCCCCCTGCTCACCACCCCCCTGCTCACCACCCGCCTGCTCACCACCCGCCTGCTCACCACCCCCCTGCTCACCACCCGCGTGCTCACCACCCCCCTGCTTACCACCCGCCTGCTCACCACCCGCCTGCTCACCACCCCCCTGCTCACCACCCACCTGCTCACCACCCATTTGTTCACCACCCACGTGCTCACCACCCACCTGCTCACCACCCGCCTGCTCACCACCCACCTGCTCACCACCCGCCTGCTCACCACCCACCTGCTCACCACCCATTTGTTCACCACCCACGTGCTCACCACCCACCTGCTCCGAGTTTGGCCGCAGGTGCCTCCCCATGCTGCTCGCAGCTGCCTCCTGACCTCGGAACCGGAACCGGAACCAGAACCGCTCATTCTGGGGCTGAGTGGGCAGCAGGCCGAAGAGCGGGGAGAGGCCTGGGTGCTGTGGGGCAGAGCTGCACACCCTCCCCAGCAGGAGGCTGCCAGTGGCCAGGAGGTTCAGAGGAGCCGCCCCCAACCCCCATGATGTGCATGGCTCTGGGCTCAGGTGAGGCGGCGCCAAGAGCCAGGGTCCGGGTTCTGCAGAAACGAGGGAAGGGAGGGGATGTGGAGGACAACGGGCCACTTGCCGGCCCTGGGCCCTTAGGGCCATGGGACCTGGTGGGGCTGGGAGGTCAGAAGGCATGTTCTGTGGGCAGCGCTCCTGGAGAGGAGGGTGGGTGAAGCTGGTGCTGCCAGGGCCCAGCGCCAACACCACCCGGAGGAGAGACCTCGGCACCACCTGGGGCGGCGCTCCTGGCCACCAGGACCAGCTGAAAGGTCCGTTCTTGCAGAGAATATGATAATTTGCCTGGAAAACCTCAAAGAACGAGCAGTAACAGTAAAATCAATGTTTTCGAGGTTTCTAGACCAACAAACTAAAAGCAGAGCCTTTCTCTTTGCATAAATAATTAGAAAATCAAGTGGAAAATCAGGCATTATTTAAAGTAGCAACAGCCCGGCTGGTGTGGCCCAGTGGTGAACCAGGAGGTCACCGGCTCGATTCCCGGTCAGGGCACGTGCCTGGGTTGCAGGCTCCATCCCAGTGTGGGGCGTGCAGGAGGCAGCTGGCCCACGGTTCTCTCTCATCACTGATGTCTCTCTCTCTCCCTCTCCCTTCCTCTCTCTCTAAAATCATCTTTAAAAGGAGGAGGTGGCTTTTGGGAGGAGCGGGTTTGTGAGCCCCGAGGCCTGAGGTGGAGATGCCCCAGAGCCTCCGCAGCCAATGGAAAGGCTGGGAACCCGAGGAGAAATGGGGGGCCAGGACTCGCTCCAGGGGCTTGTCTGCTGATTGGGGAGAGTGGGCTGCATTGAGGTCTGTTTTAGGGCGTGTCTCACAGTGGTGCCAACTCTGCCGGGAGGACTTCCCCAGGGCACTCGCCCCCCCAACTCCCGAGGGAGGACACCCCCTGCTCCCCTACCCCCCCGTTTCAAGTGCTTTCCCAGTAACTCCCTGATGGCCGTCTGGGGCTGCCCTGTCTGCAGGCGGGTCAGCGTCCGTCTCTCCTTCAGAGGCCGTGCCCTGAGGGAAATCCATGCTTTGGGGCTCACCGGGTCTTGGCATCAAAGTCAGCCGTGAGTTTTGGTTCCTAGCTGCTCGGCCTGCCGTTACGTGTGATTGTGATGATACAGAAACCCACGCTCCACTATGTCACTCTCCCGCACCCCCCTTTCCAGGGTCTGAAATAATACTTCCTTTCAAGACCATCAGATAAACACCACCACGCTCCCGGGTGGGACGGGGCCCTGCAGCACTCACTCCCTCTCCTGAATGTCGTGGAAAATAGCTGACATTGTATTTCTAGATCATTCTCCCCTCCCCCTCCTTCGTCTCAGGAACCCGTTCCTCAGACTTGCATCTGTCCCTCCACCCTGTTCCCACAGTGCTCACAGCGTGTTTCTGGCTTCGGCACATTTTTCTCTCTTATTCAAGGTCCGTTTGGCTGCAGAACCTCCTCAGTAATGTTGGGCCCCTCCTCCCCAGAAACGGTACCATTTCCAGAGCCCTGCTTAGGTGGCCCGGTCCCAGGACAGTCTCACTGCCTGTGGTTCCCCAGATGTGCCCATGGGTCTCAATTTCCCAGTGGGAACACTGGTCCAGGGAGCTGTGAGGTGACCCTTCACTTTCAATTCTAAACTCTAAGTTTGTGTTTGAATGGAAGGTGGATGGAGGCTCAGTGGGAGGGGATCCTGGTGTTTGTGTCCTTGGGCCCTTCCAGGACCAGCCTTTCTGTCCTGGGACTTGGGAGGAGGGAGGTGGGAGGGAGGACCTGACCCTGATCCACTGGCGCTCCCACCAAGTCCCCACTCGGTGGTTGTGGGTACCCAGTACCCGTCTGTCTGCCTGGTAGTGCCACCCAGTGCCCACTACTCTGGTGGAGTACTCTCATCCTGGAAGGGCAATGACCTTTGGCAGCTGCTGGGGAGACAGAAGCCAGTGGGTGGTTCTTCAGAGAGGAAGGGAGAGGGAGAGAGAGATAAAAATATGGATGGGAGCCCTGCGGTGTGGGCTCTCCTTATCATTGATGTTTTTCTCTCTCTCTCCCTCTCCCTTCCTCTCTGAAATCAATTTAAAAAAGACACATCAATGACAGAGAAACATTGTTCAGCTGCCTCCTACATACTCCCTACTGGGGATCAAGCCCAAAATCTGGGCATGTACCCTGACCAGGAATTGAACTGTGCCCTCCTGGTTCACAGGTTGATGCTCAACCACAAAGCCATGCCAATCTGGCCAGTGGGTGGTTCCTGGGGACGCGCCAGGCAAGCTGCATGGATCCCGGGCAGAGGGGACGGACCAGAGTCACATCTACGAAGAGGTTAGTGATGTGTCACCCCCAGGAAAGAATTGCACCAAGTATACAGTTGGCTACAGGGACACAGAAGTTTTATTAAAGGGAAATTCAGTTATTTTTTTACAGAAAAAGTGGAAGCAAAGGGGGAAGGAAAGCCTCATAGGGGAGGCTGGTCGCGGGGAAGGAGGGCGTGGCCAGGATGAGCCAGGGCCCTGGTGGCTGAGGAGCCAGGTGACAGCACCCCTGGGCCATCACTCAGACACACGCCCTGGCTGTGCAGGGTCGTCCATGCATCTCAGCCGCCCGGGAGGGGCAGAGAACGACCCATACACCAGCCAGAGGGCCAGTCTCGGCTGTCAGCTGGCACCTGCCTCCATGCACCTCCAGTGACCAGGACACACTGCTCTTGTGGGAGGAGGACAGAGATGGCCGGGAGCGCTGAGCACAGAGGGGGAGCCGAGCATGAATGACAGGAGGATGAGGTTGCGGTGCTGCAGGGAGGACCTGATTCAGGGGATCCCCAAACACTGAGACCGAAGGTCTGGGTTCAGAGCCTCAGATCTTGCACTGGCAGCAAACGGGGGCACAGCAGCTGGACTGGCAGCAGCAGGGTTTGCAGCAGCTGGACTGACAGCAGCAGGGTTTGCAGCAGCTGGACTGGCAGCAGCAGGGTTTGCAGCAGCTGGACTGACAGCAGCAGGGTTTGCAGCAGCTGGACTGGCAGCAGCAGGGTTTGCAGCAGCTGGACTGGCAGCAAACGGGGGCACAGCAGCTGGACTGGCAGCAGCAGGGTTTGCAGCAGCAGACAGGCACACAGCAGCTGGAGCCACAGCCTCCCTTGCAGCCCCCACAGGAGCCACAGCCCCCCTTGCAGCCCCCACAGGAGCCACAGCCCCCCTTGCAGCCTCCACAGGAGCCACAGCCCCCCTTGCAACCCCCACAGGAGCCACAGCCCCTCTTGCAGCCCCCACAGGAGCCACAGCCCCCTTTACCACAGCTGGAGCAGGAACAGGCTGGCACACAGCAGCACACGGGCTTACAGCAGCACATGGGCACACAGCAGCTAGAGCCACAGCCCCCACAGCTGGAGCCACAGCCCCCAGAACAGCCACAGCAGCTCATGGTTCTGGTGGTTGAGGGTGGAGCAGGTCAGAGAAGCAGGTGGAGAGGATTTGGTCAGGTGTGGAGCCTCCTGGGCCGGGGGCCTTTATATACCTGCCGGGGTCAGGGGTCAGGGGAGATGCTGGGCACATGGTCACTTCCTTGTGTCTGGACTGTTGCCTCAGGGTCAGTTTGTGTTTGTTGTCCTTTCCCGTGGCTCCTATTGCTGGTCCACCAACAGTTTTCTAAATTTGGCCTCTTCCTTGTCCCTCTTCCCTCGGATCCAGGCAGGTGGTCACCTGCTTTCTGTGCCGACTGCATTGTGTGTGGGTGACAGCGTCGTGTTGGCTTTCTGTGCCGTTTCTCCAGGGCCTGTTGTACGAGTGTGAGTGTGTGTGTCTGTGTGTGTGTCTGTGGTCCTCTTTCTCATGTTTCTAAATGTAATCTCTTCCCAGTTTGCTTAGTCTTTATTCATGGCAAGTACTTTCCAGGATTGTTAGTGTTTGTGGAATTCTCTAGGTGGGGCCACCTGCACTCTCAGGCGTGTGCTGTCTGTGGGCTGGGCCCCAGGTGAAGCCCAGACCCTCGCTCACCCGCAGGGGAGCTTGCTCTTGGCTAAAGATCAGTCGACCATATTTATGTGGAGATGTTTCTGGGCTCTCTGTTTGGATCCGTTGGTCTATGTGCCTGTTCTTTTGCTAATACCACCCTCTCCTGACTCCTGTGGGTGAAGAGTCAGCCTTGAGGTCGGGCAGCGTCGGTCCTCCAGCTTTGTTCTCCTTCCACATCCGGCGGGTTATTCTGGGTCTGTTGCCCCCGTGTGAATCTAGAATAAGTTCGTCAACACCCACAGAACATCTCACTGGGACCTGGTTGGGATCGCATTGGCTCTATAGGTCAGGTTGGGGAAAACTGATATCCTGACAATTTGTGTCTTCCTATCCATGAACATGGACTATCTCTCATTAATTTATTTCTTCTTTTATGTTTTTTTATCTGAGTTTTGTAGCTTACCTCATATTGATCTTGGACATTTTATTTTATTATTTTATTTTAATTTTTGTTAATCCTCATCTGAGGAAGTTTTTCCATTGATTTTTAGAGAGTGGAAGAAAGAGGGAGAGAGAGAAAAACATTGATGTGAGAGAAACACATCGATTGGTTGCCTCCTGCACGAGCCTGGACCAGGGCCTGGACCAGGGAGAAGCCTGTAACTGAGGTACGTGCCCTTGACCAGAATCAAACCCGGGACCCTTTGGTCCACAGGCTGACGCTCCATCCACTGAGCCAAACTGGCTAGGTCTGATCTTGGATATTTTAAACTAAGTGTATACCGATGTCTTCACTTTTTGGGGAGCTAATGTAAATGATACTGTGTTTATAATGTCCAATTCTATTTGTGCAGGAAAATAGGAAAGTGACTGACTTTTGTATATTAACCTTGTATCCCTCAGCCTTTCTATGATCACTTATAAGTTCTCAGATTTTTTTTCTTGCAGATTCTTTCGAATTTCTTACATAGACAATCATGTAATTTATGAACGAAGAGCTTCCTTCCTTCCTTCCCAATCAGTACTCCTCTGACCTCCTTCTCTTGTCTTATTGCCCCAGCAAGGCCTCCCAATGTGGTGTTGGAAAGGAGTGGTGAGAGGGGACATTCTTGCTCGAACCCGGTCTTTGCAGGAAACCTTGTTTCCCAGGAAGTGTGATGTTACCTGTTGGTTTTTGTTCATGTTCTCTGTCAAGTCAAGGAGGTTCCCTCTGTTCCTAGTTTACTGTGCGTTTTTGTCATAAAGGGGTTTGGATTTTGTCAAATGCTGCGTCTATTGACACGATTGTGACATTTTCCTTTTTCAGTCTGTCAAAGTGATGAGTTACATTAGTTCATTTTTGAATATTGAACCAGCCTTGCAGATAGGGGATAAATTGCAGCTGGTCCTGGTGTATACTTTTGTTTTTTAATGCTTGTGTTGGATTTGATTTACTAATTTTTTTTTGAAAAATTTACATCTACCTTTGAGTGACATTGGTCTGTGGTTTTCTTTTCCTGTGATGTGTTTGTCTGGTTTTGGTATCAGGGTGGTGCTGGCCTCACAGGGTGAGCCAGGCAGTGCCCCCTCGGCTCCCACCTTCTGAAACAGCACGCAGAGAGCTGGCGAAATTTCTTCCTTAAACGTCTGACGGATTCACCAGAGCCCATTGGGATCTGGTGCTCTCTGCTCTGGAAGGTTATTAATTACTGGAGGCCCGGTGCACGAATTTGTGCATAAGTGGGGTCTGGCCAGCCACCCCAATGAGGGCCCATCAGGCTGGGCTGGCAGGGAGAGGGGATGCAGGCAGTTGGCGGCTGGCCCCTCCCCTGATTAGGGTGCTGGGGGCCAATCGAGGGCTGGGCCAGCCATGGGGGTCCGATCAGGGCCCAGATCAGGCTGGTTGGCTGCTGCAGTACACATCATAGCCACCGGTCATTCCGGTCATCCTGGTTGTTCTGCTGTTCTGGTTGCTGGGCTTTTATATACAGTGGGGCCTTGACTTATGAGTGTCCCAACTAACGAGTTTTTTGAGATACCAGCTGTCTCTCGGCTGATTTTTTGCATTAAGTTGATAGAGTAATTTGAGTTAACGAGCTCCTTAACGAGCTTAGTCTCCGAACGAATTAGACTCGTAAGTCAAGGCCCCATTGTATATAGATTGGTTCACTTTCTTTAACAGATGTAGGCCTATTCCAATGGTTGATTATCGGTCATAATTTTAATTGAATCATCCCAGCAATATATTTACTAGTGTATCTGCCGCTGTTTGGCGTTTCCACATGCACAGTCATGTGGACCTGTGTGATGACCTCTTTTCAAATCCTCAAAACTTTAATTTTTAAATTATTTATTGCATTAGCTCCTTCAGGACAATGAGAAATAGCAACAGTGATAGTGAAAGTTTTCATTGTTCACAACCTCAGGGGCAAATATTAAAATACTGCACTACTAAGAATGGTGCTTGGTGGTTTTTTATGTTTTTAGCCCCGTCTCATTCAGCAAGTTCTCACTTCTGTATTGCAGTGTCTTTCTTTTTAAAATCATGAATGAATGCTGAATATTTTAAGTGCCTTTCCTCTTCATTTAAATCATCATAGAATGTTTTGTTATTGTGGTGAATTCCGTGGTTGATTTCAAGCGCTCAATGCACCTTGTCTGCTTAAAACCTTGTCCTCGATCTTTGATGGGTTGTGTGCCCATATTTACTTTGCTAATGTGATTTTAAGCACCTCTATGTGAGACATAATCTACACAGCATAAAGCTCATCCACTTAAATGACATAACTCAATGATTTTAGTATATTTATAAACATCATCACATTTTAATTCTAGAATACTGCGTCATCCCCAAAAGAAAACTTGTAAGCATTAGCAGTCACTCATTCACCTCCACTTTCTTCCGCCCAATTACAGGGAGCTGCAGAGGCAACATGGGGCCGGGCAGACTGGCTAGGAGACCGGGGTTTCCTTGTAAGGCAGTAGGTCAGTGATGGCAAACCTATGACACGCGTGTCAGAGGTGACATGTGAACTCATTTTTTTGGTTGATTTTTCTTTGTTAAATGGCATTTAAATATATAAAATAAATATCAAAAATATAAGTCTTTGTTTTACTATGGTTGCAAATATCAAAAAATGTCTATATGTGACACGGCACCAGAGTTAAGTTAGGGTTTTTCAAAATGCTGACACGCCGAGCTCAGAAGGTTCGCCATCCCTGCAGTAGGTGCTGTTTCTCCGCAGTGGGCTGGCTGAAGCTGAACAGGAGGACTGGTGGTGTCAGGTTTCCTTGGCAGGTGTCCCAGCAAGTGCGGCTGACTTGGGTTCAGATTTGTGACAAGGGCTGGGCCACGGGGGCCGCCTCCATTTCATCGTGGGTCCCCTTAATGTGAATTAACATTATCAATAGCCGCCCTGAGAGCTATGACATGGTACCTCATGGTTTTAACTTGCATTTCCTCAATGACGAGCGGTGGCGAATACCTTTTCATGTGCTCATCGGCCATTTGTGGAGCTTCTTTGGAGACATGTCTATTCAACTCTCTCCCCATTTGTAAACTGGGTTATTTCTCTTGTTCTTGCTGAGCTGCAAGCATTCCTTGTACAGCCCAAATGCACATCCATTGTCAGATACACGAGGTGCCGACGTTTTCTCTCTGCCTGTGTTGTCTTTTCACGTTTCGCTTTCATAGTGGTGTTGTTTGACTCACAAACATTTTTACTTTTGACAAAGTCCAATTTGTCTATTTTTCTTTTGCTTTTGGAACCAAATCTAAGGACTCTTTGCCAAATCCAAGGTCATAAAGATTTACATTATGGTGTTTGTTTGTTTGTTTGTTTTTGTTTTGAATTTTTGTAAGAGTTTAGTTGAGCCAAATTGATGACAATTGCCTGGGAGCAAGATCTCACATGCTACCTACACTATACTTTCTGTTTTTAAAAATTTTTTTGTTTATTTTATTATTAGTTTTTATTATTTATTTTTTTTAACTTATTTTTTGCTTCAGAGTTGTTTATTATACAGCAGCAGATGGCCAGCGCCTCTCCTTCTCCCACCCTCTATTTCCTCTTCACTCTCACCTTCTCCCTGGGCCCTCACCCTCTCTTGTCTAACTTCTATGTCCTGAAGGTCACGCATTAGACC